GACTAAGCCAATGCGGCGCTCAGCAACCCCATTCTGCTGCGGAGAGGCCGGAAGCGTGAACGACTGGCGGATGCCCTCCCCACGACAAAAGTCCCGCAAGAGGTCGGAGGAGAACTCACCACCTCTGTCAGAGTGCAGACGCAGGACAGGAAGGTCCTGGCGGAACCGCTTGCGGAGCTGGAGATGGACAGCGCGGATCCAAGGGATCAAGACGTCAGGGACCTCCCCCTTGCTAGGCAAGGGGAAGACCGTAGTGTAACGCGAGTAGTCGTCAACAACCAGCAGACAGTAACGCTCGCGGCCCTGTCCACTGACGCGGGCTGGGCCCCACACGTCCATGTGGAGAGTCTGCAAGGGAGCGGTCGTCGGGGGAAACGAGGAGGAGTGAGGAGCGGCGCGCTGCCGCCCCTCGACACAAGGAAGGCAGGGCGGGGCAGGCGAGGGCGGGAGGGGAGGCAGAGACCTGGGAAGACCAGAGACAAGGAGGCGGGAGTGCATGCCACGGAGGCGTGGCAGGGAGGGGTGATCAAGGCGGTGGTGCCAAAGGAGAGTCTGGTGCGAGAGGAGGCGACACGAATAGGGGGCTGCGACCTGACCTGACGCGGACACCTGTCCAGACGCAGCTACGTGAGGAGACGCAGTAGGCAGTGTGTACAGACTCGACCCAGGCCAACGGGTGAACGTGGCCAGGTGACGGCCCGTCCATGTACACGTGCAGATCGTCACACGCTGACCCCCAGGAGTGGTGGTAGTGACCATCGCATCCTGGAGGGCTGCGGTACTCACCAAGTTCGTAGAGAACGAGGGGAGGTGAAGACCCGAAAGTGAGCCAGACGGAACCGCCGGACACGGGAGAACAGTGGAGGAACGCGCAAGAACCGGTCCCCCTGAAGGGTCAGCCAGAGAGACTTCAACCGGTGCAGAGAGTGGTGTGACTGTGGTACTGTCGCGGAAGAAACAGCGGGAAGCACCTGAGTCAAGAGTGAAGGTGTGCAAGGCCTCAGCAGGCGCAGTACCAGAGAGAGCAGACTCACTAGCACCTAGAGCAGCAGCTTCTATACCTGGGTCGGGCGGCACACACAGGTAACAGTCACCCTCAGCACTAACAGTCAAAGCATACATGCCAGCAAGGATAGCGTCATAGTCAAGAGCAAATACATCCACATCCTTCCTAAGTAGCTCTAGCCAGCGGGGAAGCTCTGCCTCGTCGCCAAACTCTGCGCACCAGGCGTCGTCAAGGCGAGAGAAGCAGCGGGACTGTGTGTGACCAACCTTCCCGCAAGTCTGACCAGCGCGATCACCTATGCGAATGACGTACGTGCAGCGAACACTCCCCCCAGACGCCCCACGCTGAGCAAGCCACTCACGAAGCTGCTGAGGCATAGGGGTCTCGCACGGACGCTGCTGCTGCTGCCTCTGGCCACCGCCAGAACCTCCCCTCTCACCGGTTCCACCCCAACCGCCACCACCGCCGCCGCCACCACTCCCACTGCCGCCACCACCGCCGCCACCACTCCCACCGCTACCACCACCGCCACCACTGACGCCCCCACTCCCACCACCACTCCCACCGCCACCGCCGCCGCCTCCACCGCCTCCACCGCCTCCACCGCTGCCACCCCCACCGCCCTTGCCCCCCTTGCCCTTGCCGCCGCGGCGCCTCCCACCAGAAGCAAACGCAGCCCCGACCTCCTCAGCACAAAAGAAGTCAACGGCAGTAGCAGAAGCGACAGAGGGGACAAGGGGGGAGGGGGAACACCCCTCAAAGAAGGGAGTGCGAGGAGTGCCACGAGAAGCGCCTACAACGACTATGCTGGTCTCAGCTGCAAGGAGGTGCTTCTCGAGCAGGTCGACAGTGAGGTCTGCGGGGTCTAGGGCGAGAAGGAGGTCCCTGACTTCGCGAAGAGAGTCAGGGAGGCGGGTGACGATGAAGTAGAGAGTGATGTACATGGGTGGGGGGTTGGAAGACCGGCGCGGTAGAGAGTGTCGCTAGTGCGAAGGTGGGTGATGAGGTGATCGACTGTGGCAAAGGCTGACAGCTCAGGAAAAAGGTAGGGCAGTATAAGACGGCCGAGAGCAGCAGTGGCAGGGGAGGAGTAACGAGTGACTACAGCGTCGAACAGTGCTTTGGCAGTCTTGTGCTGGCCAAAATGCGCGCGTTCGGCTAACGGCAGGTGGTTGCGAACGGCTAGGCGAGCAGTAGCGTCACGGGCAAGCCACTGTGAGCGAGTCGCACTTTTAGCTGTCTTGGGAGGAGCGAGAGAGGTCCCAGACGTGTGGTCAAACAAGGAGACGCCGCCCTTAGACTCGCTCTGTAGGTACAGCTGTAAGTCGTCTAGCCAGGTCTCAAACTGGATCGGACGGCCCACAGGATCGAAGATGAGAACACTGAGAGAAGCTATAGCGGGCAGAGCAGGGTGGCGCGCGACCAGCAGGGCAGCACGCAGGCAAGGACGGCGCGATGGGCAGGGCAGCGCGCGAGCACTAGGGAAGCGCGCAGGGCAGGGCGGGGCAGCGCACGGCTAGGGAAGAGAGGCGCGGCGCCAGGGCAGGGCGGCGCAACTGGTAGGGCAAGGCGGCGGCCAGCAGGGCGGCGCGCGGGCAGGGCTGGGCGGTGCGGCAGCCAGCAGGGCGGCGCACGGGCAGGGCAGGGCGGCGCGGCGGCCAGCAGGGCGGCGCGCGGGCAGGGCAGGATGGCGCGGCGGCCAGCAGGGCGGCGTGCGGGCAGGGCAGGACGGCGCGGCGGCCAGCAGGGCGGCGCGCGGGCAGGGCAGGGCGGCGCGTCGGCCACCAGGGCGGCGCGACTGGCAGGGCAGGACGGCGCGCAGCTAGCAGGGCAGTGCGACGGGCAGGGCAGGGCAGCGCCCGGCCAGCAGGGCGGCGCGACGGGCAGGGCAGGGCGGCACGCGGCTGGCAGGGCGGCGCGACGGGCAGGGCAGGGCAGTGCGCGGCCAGCAGGGCGGCGCGACGGGCAGGGCAGGGCAGCGCGCGGCCAGAAGGGCGGCGCGACGGGCATGGCAGGGCAGCGCGCGGCCAGCAGGGCAGCGCGACAGGCAGGGCAGGGCAGCGCGACTGGTGGGGCAGCGCGACGAGCAGGGTAGGGCGCTACGAGCAGGGTAACGCGCTACGGGCAGGGAACTATTCAGTGGGCCCTAAAAAAAAACGGTCCTGGAACAGGACCTGCTCTGAAACCATGTCAGAAATCTGAACGAGAATGAATGCATTGAGAAGAAACTAAGTACAAGTACTAACCCTAATTGGGTTGTACCCTTTACGGGCTACCCCACTACAGCCTACACAATATAAGCATTATAACAGTTTGACAAGATCTACGCTGGTGCCATGGCGGCACAGGAGCTTCGCTGATTGACCTTCTTGCTCACCGACCTTGGTGAGCGGCCTCACTCTGCACCCACCTTGTACGCTGACAACAAGGCCATGATCCTCCTGTGTCGAGAGCCTCGACTGGAGAGCAGAGTGAAGCATATTGACGTGAGGTACTTTCTCCTGCAAGAGCTACAGCGACGCGGCCAGGCACGCTTGGACTTTGTGGCCTCAGAGGCCAACACTGCCGACGTCTTCACCAAGGCCTTGGCGCCTGGTGACCACCACAGGTTCTGTGTGCAGCTAGGGCTTGTTGAGGTAGGCCCACGGTTGCTGTAGTATTGCTCTTGTTGCGTGTTCTGCTTGGCATTGCCTTTATATATATTGTGCTCTCTTGAACTGGCCTTGTGGCCGCTTGCTTGTGCTCGGAATTTATGTGGTGTCCTTGAGATCCACCCTGAGCTTGCTTTGCTTCTTGTCTAGACTAGTCTTGTGACCGATTGTTCACCCTGCTTGCTTTGATGCCCCTTACTTAGCCTATAGGGGTGTGTCAAATGTTATTATGTGTTTTAGGCTGCAGTGAGGTGAGGTGCAGGCCCTATTTTATCAGGGTAAATCACCCTGATACCCTGATTATCAGGGTGGTTTTTGGGTGTAACACTGATGCCGTAGGGTAATTTTTTTGGTTGATTTTCCCTAATGTGCCAGGGTTTACGAATAAGGCACACTGTCGCCTCAGTGTTGCCGATCCTCTTAGCGAGTTTTACCCTGAAGCGAGTACCAGCCACCCCCGCCCCCCCCCCCCCCCCCCCCCCCCTCCTTCCCCTAACCCCCTTACCCCGTAACCCGGGATTCCCGATTGCCAACTGTCGAAACTGTAAATTTGTTATTGTGTGCTCTGTTAATGACAATTTCAGCAGGGTTCGAGAACATTGTACACTGATGCCTCAGGGTTGAATATTTAAAATTAAGCAGAAACCCTGATGAATCAGTTTTCCCACAAGGGGTCACACTGATAATCAGGGTTTTGAACATGTTCAACACTGATCGTAAGGGTTGGCAAAAACCAAAAATTAGCCCTGGTGAGGTGCTCCTTAGTGAGTACAACTCAGTTAGGGTTTTATATTTGTACTGCCTTGCTTTCCTAGTCACACATTCCGTTGCATTCTACCGTAACTCTGAGAATGACTAACTTGTGAGAAATTCAACTGGCTTATACAGTGGCACCAAAACTCTCCGGATACACAATCCCAGTATTTAGTGACTAACCTGTGAGAAATTTTAGAAGTACTGATCTGATCATCACAGGATAGAAAGTATAGGTTGTACGGTACTTGTAACGTTCAGGAAGAAGAGCCAATACGGTAACACTTTCGAATTCAAGATTAATCACCTGCTAAATCAGGAAATTTGATTGCCTGCCCCAACCTTGGTTGACAAGGTTGCCCCAAATTAGCCAAGGTTGCGTCTATGACTAGTCTTCACCTGATCTGAAGCCACATACGGTATGAGTTTACACTTCAATTTGGGTTGCGTACAACATTCGTACTGTTGTCAACAAAACCATTGTGCAAAGAGGACAACAATCAACTATACCGGTAAGCTGCCTCATTTCATAGAAAACTAACTGGGTTCATAATGTGTAAATTATATCTTGCTAGTCTGCACTTCAAATCCTACTGTGCTACAAATCTCCGGCCTGGTTTGCTACGGTCCCCATGAGCCGTCCTAACAGCCCCTTGCAGCCTTGGGTCGCTGTGTGCACTCACCACACACCCGCGCCTCTCCGCATCCACCAGCAGTTGCTCCCACGTGCGGTTGCCCCGCCTTAGCGTGTCACCGTCGCCCACCACCCACATGGCATGGTGTGCTCGAGTCACCGCCACGTTCAGACTGGAAGGAGGGGAAATAATAGGGGGGGTGCAAGGGACCAGTAAACAATAAATTATCTGACCCGAAGCGTGAATTGTCAGGCAAAGGTAAAGGAGATATTGCATGTGATTTCCTGCTCCTGAACTCCTCAAAATAAAAGGGTGCACACATACCGTCTGGGGTCAGCAACAAATCCAATCGATCCAGCCGTGTTGCAGCGGACGGTGCTGAGGATGATGACGTCACACTCCCTGCCTTGGAAGCCGTCCACAGTGCCCGCCTCCACCAGAAGCTGCCTCCACGCGCCTTCCCTCGCCTGCACCTGCACTGCCCCTTGCAATGCTTCCACCTGGCGCTTGTACGGCGATATCACCCCCACCTTCAGCCCCGTGCCACCCTGCGTGTGTGTAGCTACTCCTCTGCATGCTGTAGGCTCAGTGGCAGAAAGGGACATACAACGGAAGCGAGGGAATGTGAGAATGGAGGCAGGAACCGGGCAAGAAAATTGCCCTGAGAGTGTAGGATTGAAGGGTAGAACTTAGCAGAAGGATGGAAGGATACATGCAAGCCATGCAAGGCTCACCATGAGCGAGGCGGTGCAGGAGGGTGAGGACGAGAGCAGCTTCCACAGAGTTGCCAATGCTGCGGCTGCCACCCTCCATAGCCCCGCCCTGCCGCTCCTCCCTGCCCTTCACGTGAAAGAACCTGTACGCGCCAAACAGGGGCTGCAGGTGCTTCGGACTGTGCTGCGGGCGGCACACGTTGGCGCCATTCTGGATGCGGCCGCGGTAGAAGCAGCGCGAGGGGAAGGCGCTGATGGAGGGGTGCATGCGGTACTGCACGCTCAGCAGCTGCACCGCCCACCCGTTGCCTTGCAGCCGCTCAAATAGACTGCGGTTGTAGTTACCTGCTTCCGCCAACTGGTCATGAGGGAGGGGAAAGGGGGAAGCCACCGCGCAATGACTAGGGCATCCGAAAAGCGGGTGAAGAAACATATAAGGTAGCGGAATTTTCTTCAATCAGGGACAAAGCAAACCATAGTCCATCTGGTGAAAAGAGTAGCCACATGATGAAATTGTTGTTTTGAGACGTCTCAAAACAACAATTTATCACATAGTAAAAAAAGCCCAACTTCTTATTTCGATGCACCATTCACACACATGCCAACGTGCCAGTACAGATTTAAACCATTGCAAGCGATCCGCCTCTGAAGAACACCGTATTTTGCAGACCGGACTAAGGCATGGAGCTAATCACCTAGAAGATCCCCATCCGATTTGAATACTTTCGATACTTTCCTCGACCACTGCATCCCACCCACCCACCTTGCTCATGACAGTGGCGGGAAGCTGCCGAGGGTCGCCGACCAGCACGGCGTGCTGCACGCCGCCCGCCTGCAGAGCCACGAGCGCCTCCGCCTCCACCAGCTGGGCGGCCTCGTCCAGCAGTAGCAGGGGGAAGGCGCCCGAGAGGCGGATGAGGGAGCGCGCCGAGGACGACACGGTGGACAGAACCAGGCGCGCGCCCTTCACACATGCGTCTGCTATGCTCTCCCATGATGAGCTGCTGCTGCTGAGCCCGGGGAGATTGAAGGCAGGGCTGGCTGCGTGGATTCTTTGCAGGTGGTGGCAGATGGCATGGAACAGCTCTGCGGCATGATCGAGAGAAGCATCAGCATCATTGGTGATGCTAGTGCTGCTGCTGCTGCTGCTGCTGCTGCTGACCGGTCTTGCTGCAAAGACACTTGTGTTCCTCCTAGGATTCTTTCCCCCGGCATAGCTGCTGGCCCCACCAATCCCACAGGGTATTCCCGCTAGAACTGCAGCCTCCTGCAGCACTGCACGCACCCCCTTGCTCTCCTGCCTCGCAGTCCTCCTCGCCGCATCATCCAGCCACTGCAGGACGTCAGTAGGCGCCAGCCCAGGGCACGCCAGAACGTGCAGCAGCGCAGGCAGCAGGTCAGCTGCCTGCAGCAGCAGCGCGTGGTGGTGAGCCGGCAGGAGGGCGGACGGCAGGTCCTGGGCCAGAGTGGTTGCTGCCTCCGAGGCATGGTTCACCAGCTTCCCCACTCGCTCTCGGAAGAAGCTCAGCAGGTCAGCAGCCTCACGCCTCCTGCCACCGCTGTTCTCCGCCTTGCCATCCCCCCTGCAACTCTGCCCTCCACCACCCCCTCCAACTGCCACCTTGTCACCTGTAAGGCACTCCCCATGCTCCTCCGCATGCTCCCCGCACTCTCCCTCCTGCCCCTCATACTCCACGCGCAGCTGCTCGCCCGTCCACTGCAGCACGCCCATGAGACCACAAAACGCGCCTCTCCACCCAGTCAGCCCACTAAGAGCCGCTTGCAGCCGCCACACTCGCCCCCTGCGTGCGCCGCTGCCGCCCCCATCCTGGGTGCCCAGAAACAGCATGCTGAGCTCGCCGTCTACGTCCACCCTCTCCTCGTTCGCCACCAGCACCATGTCCCCCACCTGCACCCGCTCTCCACACGCCCCTGCCCCTGCCCCTGTCGCTGCCCCTGTCGCTGCCCTGCCACCCCCGCTCTGAGCAGGCTGTGGTTGGCAGAAGCGCTGTGGGAGGAGCAGGGGTGGGTCAGCAGCGAGAGCAAGGCGCAGCATGCGGCGGGCCACCTCGGCGGCTGCCACGTTGGTGGGCGCACAGACGAGCGTGCGCACGCCTAGGGACAGCACCGCCCACAGCAGCACCGCCAGCATGTGCGTCTTGCCTGTGCCTGGCGGCCCTTGCACCAGCTGTAGGGGCTGCGGGGGGGAGGAGGAGGAGGGGAGTGCTGCAGAGAAGGAGGAGGGCAGGAGTGGGGTGGAATCGGGATTGGTGGGGGGTGGGGAGAGGAGAGCGGTAGCAGGCGGAGGGGTGGGGGTGGGCAGGAGGGCGGAGAGGCAGGAGAGAACGGCTGCGTGCTGGGAGTGGTTGAGCTGGCAGGTAGTGCAGAGGTTGGAGACAGCTTGCAGCACAGCTGCTGCCTCGTGAGGTGCCACTGCAATGGCTGGAGCCACCGCCAAGCCTTGCTGCAGAGGGAGAGGGGAAGGTGAGCGCAGAAAGGAACGGTACAGGAAAAAATCAGTTGAGCGTAACAAAGATATGATGCGACATGTCCCCACCACCACCACCACACCCCTCCCTCTTTTCCCCTCCCAGACCCCTTCGTGCCTTACCTCCCTCCACTCCGAGCCTCCTCTCCTCGCTCCAGCCTTGAGCCTCCCCTGCTGCCTCTCCTTCGAGCACAGCAGCGCTCTCAGCATCCTCCTCCGCCTCACCACGTCCTGCCTCTCTCCCTCCTCCCCTCCCTGCAGCGCAGCCCACACGCGCAGGGGCGTGGCCAGGCAGCCCAGCGGGGTGGCATACCACCGCACTGCCACTGCACCCGCCTGCTCACCGCCCTCCACTGCCGCCCTGAGCGCGATGTGCTCACGTGAGCCATCACGAGCCACTATCTTGCCGCGCAGCCCCCTGCCCCGCAGCGGCACGAGCAGTGCCAGGAAGTGCAGCACTCCTGGGGCGAGCAGCGCGGGTGGGCGAGAGGGGGGCACAGAGGACAGCAGCAGCACGTCTGTGGGCTTCAGCTCCGCCTCCGCCCCTCCACCCGCGCGCCTGTGCACTAGGGCAGCGTCTGTGCGCTTCAGCTCCGCCCCTCCACCATCCCCACGCTGCCCTGCTGCACCTGCCTTCCCCGCCTCACCGGTCCCACCCTCCTCACCGATCCCAACCGCGCGGCACACCTCCAAGTCCACGTAGCAGAAACCGACAGTGCTGTCCACCCGTCCACTCGAGTCACCCACCGTCCCACCGTCCACGCGTGTGAGAGCACGCACGGTGACAGGGAGGGAGCAGGCGGGAGGGAGGTCGTGCAGGGCGCGCTTGAGGGAGGCGCGGCACTCGTCGATGAGCGGCCAGCGGAAAGCAGCGAGGTAGGTGGGCACGTCTGTGAAGGTGGTGGGGATGGGCCGCACCTGACGGGGGGTATGGGCAGTGCAGGAGGGTTGGGTTGGGGCGAGGGGTGAAGGAGACGAGGGCAATGATTGCTGCACGTGCAGTACTATCACAGACGTGGACCGAACTGATTAACCAAATACCCTATGCTAGTTACCCAATGTCAAACTCAATTGGCATCCATGCTGCATCATGGGTGCAAGCAGCATCTCACGAGGGTGGAGAGGAGCTGGTCGTTGCAGATGTCTGCCACACGCCATGGAACCCGAGTCAGCTTTGGGGATTCTCAAAAATGATTCTTTAGGGGTGGAGAAGAGCTGCCTGCAGTGCAGATCTTACGACTCAGAAGAATTCTCATAAGTGATTCCAACATATCTTACGAGGGCGGAGAGGAGCTGGTCGTTACAGATGTCGTCCACACGCCATGGCAGCACGTGCTGCTCCAACTCGCACAGCGTCCCTCCCACCCCTCCCTCTTCTGCCTCCCTTGCTTCCCCCGCTGCCGCAGTAGGACCCTTGGGAGCACGCCCCGCCTTGCCGCGGCGCGTGCTGGGCGCAGGCGCGGAGGAGGCGCCGGCCGGCTTGGATGCCTTTTGAGGCGCATCAAAAGCCGACTTGCCGCGGCGCATGCTGGGAGAAGCCGTGGAGGAGCCAGGCGGCTTAGAAGCCCTGCTGGTAGCCTCGTGCGGTGCTGCCTGCTGTGCTGCGCCCTGCTGGTCGTCGCTGCAGGCGTGAAGGGAGTCACGGAGAGGGAGTTAGAAGCACAGAAATCATGACTCACTTTTGGCCCATTTGGTCTAAAATCGTCTGCCTAGAAAAATTAATCGAACAGAAAGAAAGACGAACAGAATGAACCAAGACAAGAACAAAAGCAAAAATCGAAACGGAAGGCAGAATCGGGTATGTGCAAGTCGACCTTGCACGAAGTGGTTTGCGCCGTGCGCGTCGGAGTTTGTGACCTCCCTCCGGTTTGCGATCCATGGCGCGTGTGAGCAGGCAGCGGGCCGTGAGGGCGATGAGGTGGGTGGCTAGTGAGGGGCGTTTGTGACCTCCCCCCCTCACAAACGGCTAGGGAGGGACGTGCAGCTAGTGGTGAGGCGAGGAGGCCGGCGTGGGTGGTTACGGCAGTTGGGGTGAGATTTTGAGTGAAGAATGGCGATTGCGAAGATGGCAACGGCGGGATGAGGCGGGAGATAGTGGCGATGCACGGACAGCCAGTCCAGATCGCAGAGAGAAGCACATGCGCTCGACGGGGAGAGGTGGTCGGAGGTGGGAGGTGAACGGAGGCTGGCCTAGCCCCAAGAGCGTCGTTTTGGAGTTCACGCGGCACCCCTCGTCTTTCTCTGCGATCGTGGCACGCTAGACTAGAGCTGACGTGGCGACGAGCTAACGAGGAGGGCTGTGGCTGGGGGACGAAGGCAGCGTGGATGACTGGGCGGAATTCGGATGCTCGGCAAACCCATGGAGGCATATCGAGAACAGTGGGAGAACGAGGGCCCACACGATTGGGACCTCTCGCAGAGAGGCAGGTGGGGCAGAGACGGAAGGGCAGGGGCACGGCACATGCGCGGATTTCCGCAACGCGAGGCGCGACTGCGTGCTGTTGCTGCTGGCCATGCACGCCACTTAGGGCCTTGAGACGACGGCCGTGGGCAGACATGGCGGGGCAAAACGAGGGACAGGAGGTCGAGGGTCTTGAGGGTGCTGACGAGCGCGATCTACGGGCGACCATTCCGATCGGTTGCCTCAACTATGTCGAACCGCGAGTGACTGTTCGGCTTCACGAATCGGGACGAACTTGGGACCTGTAGGAGAGAGAGGGGTGCAGTAACCCCTACAAACTGACTCCACTTTCCTTATAAGCGAGTGTAGAAATCCTCGTTCTAAAGCCCCAGTATACATTTGGCCGTCCTGTTGGCTGTACCCGGATAGCTCAGGCTGGCAATTTGGAGTTCTGCAGAACACAGCCTCTGTCACTCGAAACACGCAGAACCGTGGCGATCCATATTCAGACCGCTTTGTACCGCAAGAACTTCATCACTTTGAACACCTCAAATCCTGAAAATGTTGTGTCCAACAATCACAGAAGTTTCTTACGAACGTTGTCATACACATAGAAATTCCAAGAGATGCGAAAACATATTGCTTATAGAGCGAACAACACAAATCCTGCCTCCCCTCTCAATTCTCCGCAGGACAGATCCCATCCCAATGCCTGCTCATACAAATCCACCACTACAGCAGCCCAATCCCTCAGCTCAAAGCTGTTACAATCCCAAGTGGGACTTAGCAAAGGATCGCTCAGGATTGATCGCAGAGTAGTGTTGCAGCGGAAGTTTGAATCTCAGGTCAGAGTGAATGTAAATGACTAAGTTGATAATAGCATGCATACATCGGGTTTATATAAGAATACAAGGGAATACAAAAAGACCTGTTCCCACTCTTTTCATTTCAAATGTTTCTGCCTGCATCGCTCTTGGTCAGACGGTTGCTGCGTTGCTTCGACTCTTCTGACTCCTCGACTTCGTACTCGGTAGAGTCGGCTCCTGCAGCATACAGGAATGCCTTCTCATACAACTTCATATCGTAACACTCCCCTTCATTCCTGGGCGCTCAAGGTGCTGACTCGCTTGTCTACTTCGGTGAGGTCAGAGCAGTGTTTGTACTGCTGACGTGGCAGTCGCTTGGTGAGGAAATCGGCTGCCATCTCGGTGGTTGGGCAGTACGTGAGGTCAACTTTTCCCTGGTCAATTTCGTCCTTGACGAAAAAATACCGAAGTGCAATGTGCTTCCTACGGTTCACGAAACCCGGCTTATTCGCGATTTTGATGGCGCTCTGGTTGTCGCAGTGAAGGCGAAAAGTAGGCGAAGTTGCAATTTTCGCTTCTTGCAACAGTTCCTGCAGGTACATGTCAAACATTATACATGTTTACATTGTGTAGGCTATAGTGGGTTTAGCCTTAGGGGGTACAACATTGCTAGGGTTTCCTACTTGTATCTCCCTGCTGCCTAGTTTCACATATTCTCGTTCAGTTCTACATTCTAACATGGTATCCGACGCCTAGGTCAGGACCTAGGACCGACGTTGGTTAGGGCCCACCGTTCCGCCGCGCCCTTGCGCGACCATGTCTGATAGTACCTCGCGCCGTCGTGCGCCCCTACCCGCGCCGTCGAGCGCCCTTACTAGCGCCGTCGAGCGCCCCTTCTAGCGCCGTCGAGCGCCCTTGCTAGCGCCGTCGAGCGCCCCCCCTCCTCTAGCGCCGTCGTGCGCCCCTACCCGCGCCCTCGAGCGCCTGCCTACTCGCACCCTCGAGAGCCACCCTGCCGCCCTGCCCTGCAGGCCGCGCGCGGGCCTACTCTGCACCCGCGCAGCCGCCCCTGGATTAGGGTTTCGCGGCCCCTGGACCCCGCGACGCGTCGCCCTGCTCGTCGCGACGCCTCTGCGGGACCCCGGCGTCGCCCCTGCCTCGGTGCGACGCCCCTACGGGACCCGCGCGTCGCCCCTGCCTCGTCGCGACGCCCCCTGCGGGACCCGCGCGTCGCCCCTGCCTCGTCGCGACGACCCTGCGGGACCCGCGCGTCGCCCCCAGCCTCGTCGCGACGCCCCCTGCGGGACCCACGCGCGTCGCCCCTGCCTCGTCGCGACGCCCGCGCGCGACCAGCGCGTCGCCACCGGGACCCGCGCGCGTCGCCACCTGCCTCGTCGCGACGCCCCCGCGCGACCCGCGCGTCGCCACTGGGACCCGCGCGGAGTCGCCCCTGCTCGCCGCGGCGCCCTGCCCTACCCCGCGACCGCCCTTGGGACGGCCGCCCCTGGCCAACTGGAGCAGCCGCCACTGCAGGAGCCGCCCCTGGCCCCTGGAGCAGCCGCCACTGCAGCAGCCGCCCCTGGACCCTGGAGCAGCCGCCCCTGCAGCAGCCGCCCCTGGCCACCTGGAGCAGCCGCCACTGCAGGAGCTGCCCCTGGCCCCTGGAGCAGCCGCCACTGCAGCAGCCGCCCCTGGACCCTGGAGCAGCCGCCCCTGCAGCAGCCGCCCCTGGCCCCTGGAGCAGCCGCCACTGCGGGAGCCGACCCTGCCCTTCAGTCGTAGCGGCCTCGCTGTCGCCGCCGTCTTGCGCCTGCCCTTCCCACCACTGGTGAGCACTGCCCTGCCCGCGCTGCTACCGTTGCTACTGCCGCTACTGCTTTTACTGCTCCTGCTGCTACTGCTGTTACTGCCGCTACTGCTGCTACTGCTGCTCCTGGCGTGGCCAGATGCAGCTCCAGGGCCGTCCGCGTGTGTCCCTCACGCCCCAGCAGCTTCGTGAGTGGTACGCCAGTTGGGGTTGTCGGGGTGGCCGTAGTGGGAGTCGTTCTGGAGTCGGTAGTTCGGGGGCTTCTTGTAGTAGCCCGGTGCAGCAGCAGCGTCGTCCGCGCGAGACTCTTTCGCCCCAGCAGCTTCGTGAGTGGTACGCTCAGAGTAGAGGGTCGCTGAGTACTGCTCGCTGCCCGTACGTTATTAGCACGGGTGCCCGGACTGGCCAGCCTTGCGGGACACGTGGTCACACAGAGTCCCACTGCTTCGCCCGTCTGAGCGACGCTTGGCGTACAGAGTTTGGCGACGACGCTGAGCTCCCCGACTAGGTGGAGCTACTTAGGCAGAGGGTAGATATCTTTGCTCCTGACTATGATGCTATCCTGACTGCCATGTATGCATTGTCTACTAGTGCTGCGGGTGCCTGTCACCTGTGTGTGCCGCCTGACCCCGGTATCCAGTCTGCTGCTCTAGGTACTGGTGAGGCTGCCGCTCTAGGTGCTAGTGTGTCTGCTGCCCCAGGTGCTGGTGAGGCTGCTGCTCTAGGTGCTCGTGAGTCTGCGCCCTCTGGTACTGCGTCTACTGAGGCACTGCACACCTTCACACTGGACTCAGGTGCTTCCCGCTGTTTCTTTCGTGACCGCACTGCCCTTGAGCAGCTTGCTCGGCCGGTTGCAGTCTCCCTCGCTGACCCCTCTGGGGGTCCGGTCATTGCGACCTCCTCCACTGTTCTCCCTTGTCCTGCGGTCCCGTCGGGCACACTGTCCGGTCTCTACCTCCCCTCGTTCTCTACGAACTTGGTGGCGGGTAGTGCGCTCCAGGACGGGGGTGTCCACCAGTTCACCCCTGCCTACGAGCGCGTGACACACTGCACGTGCGCTCGGACGGGTCGCCACCTGGCTACCTTCACTCGGCAGCCGGGGTCGGACCTGTACACACTGACCACTGAGTCCCCTCAGGTAGTTGCGTCTGCGTCTGCGTCAGGTCAGCTGTCGGCCCCCTGCTCATGTCGCTCCCTGGCGCACGAGACCGTCCTCTGGCACCACCGCCTTGGTCACCTGTCAGTGCAGCGCCTTCGTGGCATGCACTCCCGGTACCTTGTCTCTGGTCTTCCCAGGGTTCTCCCTCCCCTCCCACCCTCGCCTGCTCCTCCCTGTCTTCCCTGTGTCGAGGGGCGGCAGCGCGCCGCTCCTCACTCCTCCTCGTTTCCCCCGACGACTGCTCCCTTGCAGACACTCCACATGGACGTGTGGGGCCCAGCCCGCGTCCGTGGACAGGGTCAGGAGAGGTACTTCCTGATCGTTGTTGACGACTACTCGCGCTACACCACGGTCTTCCCCTTGCGCACCAAGGGTGAGGTCCCTGATGTTTTGATCCCTTGGATCCGCGCTTCTCGTCTCCAGCTCAGCGAGCGGTTCCACTCGGACTTTCCTGTCCTGCGTCTGCACTCTGACAGAGGTGGTGAGTTCTCCTCCGACCTCTTCGCAGCCTACTGTGCGGAGCACGGCATCCGCCAGTCGTTCACGCTTCCGGCCTCTCCACAGCAGAATGGGGTTGCTGAGCGCCGCATTGGCTTGGTCATGGAGGTCGCTCGTACCTCCTTGATCCATGCGGCTGCCCCCCACTTTCTGTGGCCGTTTGCGGTCCGATACGCTGCGCATCAGCTCAACCTCTGGCCCCGTGTCTCCGTTCCGGAGACTTCGCCGACACTGCGTTGGACGGGAGAGGTTGGCGATGCGTCGCGTTTTCGGGTCTGGGGATCTCGAGCTTTTGTTCGCGATACGTCCGCGGACAAGCTCTCCTCCCGCGCTGTTCCTTGTGTCTTCCTTGGCTTTGTCCCGGACGCGTCTGGTTGGCAGTTTTACCACGCCACCTCGCGCCGTGTCCTGCCCTCTAAGGACGTCACTTTTGACGAGTCGGTGCCCTACTACCGCCTCTTCCCCTACCGCACTGCCCCGCTCCCCCCCCCGCCTCTCTTCCTCGCGCCAGGTGCTGCTGTGGTAGACCCCCTCCCCCCTCAGGGTGCCGCTCCCTCAGGTGTGTCCCAGGTAGACCCGGTTGAGCCTGTCGAGGTAGCAGTCGACTCTCATCCTGCTAGGGGTGCTGAGCCTGAGCGTGCGGAGCCTGGGGGTGCGGAGCCAGGGGGTGCGGAGCCTGGAGTTGCGGAGTCTGGGGGTGCGGAGCTTGCGGGTGCTGAGTCTGGGGGTGCTGAGTCTGGGGGTGCTGAGCCTGGGAGTGCTACGTCCGAGGGTACTGAGCCAGAGGGTGCTGCGACTGAGCGTGCTACACCTGGAGGCGCTCTCTCCTCACAGCAGCTGCGTGAGTGGTACTTACAGTACTGCAGCCTCAGGAGAGGTGCTTCTGG